AATTGTATCTGGATTGTTCTTTAGTGGATGGATGATCGCAACATATTGTGCATGGACATGACGGACGGAAATGAAAACTTAACATAAGCAATATACCATTTAGAGAAGGCTACTTTTGGATTATTCGGGCTCGTCGGCATACCTGTCTCTCGTTGACTGACTGGCTTGTGTTGTTCGTTGTGTGTCCTGTCCTGTCCGACTATGCGTTATGATGGGTCGTTCGCAATTCATGAGCGTTAGCTGTTAGTGATGATGGGTCGTTCGCGAATGAGCGTTAGTGAAGATGGATCGACTCGTTCGCGATTCGCGAATGAGCCGACTCTTTTAGGTGAACGTCGGTAGCTGGCTCGCATATCTGAAGAGCCGACTCTTAGAGCTATAGAAATTAAATAATTATGTAATAAAAATTGAAATATTATAGTCAAAGTCATTTAAAGAGCCTTTTGTGAGCCAAAAGAGCTGGCTCTTTTCAGTGAGCTGAGTCAAAAGAGCCGAATGCCCATCACTACTATGCGTGCTTTAGAACACCCGCCCAACTCTACCTCTGATTGGCTTACAATGACATTTTACTCTACCTCAGCCAATCGTCAGCATTTATGCGCTTGTCTCGTGCTCTGCCCACTAACCAAGGAAGAACAGTAAAAAAAGTATTTGCCTCTCGCTCGGAGATCTAGTTGGTCTGATGAAAAAAAACAGCTTCATCAGTTATAGTAACGCGCCGCATTTTTTGGCAGTAACGGTAACGGCGTTATTAAGATGAGAAGAGTAATCAATTAGATTACTCGTTACTGGAAAAAGTAATGCCGTTAGCGTTATTCCCATCACTGCTAATGACGGTTTAGTGTTATGTTTAAAAGTATCATTCTTTCCAACGATTTTTAATTGACTTATATTTAAAACAATCTCATAACATTATTTAATGCATTGTTATTTTTCAGTGTAAACGATTTAATTTGATCAGCCCTACCTAGGGTAAAAGCCATATAGTGTCTTATCATTCTAAATAATTGAATTTATTGATCAAATTTACAAATTAAAAATGAAAGATGAAGCATACATTTAATAAGACTGGACTGGGGTGCCCTGTATATATTACAATATGCAGATTTAAATATACCATTGCCCCCCACCGTCAATTTGATGTGTGTGTGTGTGTGTATAATAAAATCATTTAGTCACTACAATTAAAACTTGAACGTGTTTGCTTACTAAATTGTGAGCAAAACGAAAAATGCAGCAAAGATCAGCAACAGGAGTCAAAATTCATTAATCACGAGAGTGAAGAGCTGACTGAAAAAAATGATGACGGAATATTTTGTGTAAAAGCGCCTATTTAAGCCAATCTTTCATTTACTCATTTGTTGTTGTGTTTTCCCTGAAAATCGGAAGCAATCGGCCCCCGATATGGCGCTAATTTTAAAGTGACACTAAAAAGTATGCGGCTGCACAGTATGCGGTTTTTTCATTTCTACTTCCATAGAAATTCATTCGAGCGCACTGCGAGCGCCACCACTATAACTGTCCGTGCGGACGTCCTTACTTTACTTTCACTTTTATATTAGCGATTTAAAAGGCCTCGCTGGTGTCTAACGTCGATTAACCGGTGGGAAAAGATCCTCACAGCCACATACCTAATATATTTATATTTAATTACAATAGCCATACCTGATAAAAAGATTTATGTACTGAGTTGATATCATTTTGGACACAAGAGGGCAGTAGAGCCCTTTGTATTACTTGATGTATTTATTTTTTAACTGAATAGCGCATTCTGGCTGTTTTTAAACTTGTACATTATTCTTAAATTGAAAACAAGAATAAAATGGGTTTAGTTTTGATATTTGTATAATTTTATCTAGAAATAAATGGTGTATAATTAATTTTTTAGAAGATATGAGGCTTTTAGTGTTTACTTTTTTGACATGACTTTAATCCCTCGCCATAGCAAAACAATTTGAGATATTCAATAGCCATTCACAATTTAGCTTCTTTAATGTATTTTCATCATGTTGAAAAAGTTTGGTGGGAATTAAATAAACCACTTAAGAGGAGTGGGTAAAATATCAGAGGCTGATTTTGCCAAAAATCCACATTCAGACGAAAATATATGACTTCCTTTTAATCCGAGCTAATTACGGTAAATTAGAAAGTTGTCCGGCTCGAAGAGTACAATATACATATCGAGTTTTGTTACTGTAGATAAAACTAACCCCCCCACTTTTGTCAAAAGCATTTAGAAAGTGACACACTTCCTGCTGCCAGTTGGTGGCGCTATAACTTTGACTCACAATAGTTACATCCATCTGATTGGCCTCTTACCACGAACACACTGCTGAAGTTTCATCAAGATCAGTTAATTTATGCAGAAGTTATAACACTTCGTGTTTCTCTTTTCTCGCCATAAATTCGTTTCCTCGCCACGGCCAAACCGTTCGAGATATCAAAAATCCGTCCGCAATTTAGCATGTTTAATGTGTTGACCTCAAGCTGACGGAGTTTGGCAGTAAACAGATGCAATCTCTAGGAGAAGTACTTCAAATTCCTGAGCAAGCGTTCTCCAAACAACCCATAATAGCCGACTTCCTGTTGGGCTGGCGTAAAACTTGACCGAGGGTAAGTTGTTCCGCCCGATGAGATCTATATGTGTACTGAGTTTCATATTAATTCATGCAAGCGTGTTTGATCTATGGACCAAGTTTTGGGGACCCCGTTCAAGGGGGCGCTGTTGAGCCCCCCTGCCACGCCCGGGTACCAGCTTCAGCCCGGCCCTGATGGCTGTGGGCGCTGACCTGTGTGCAAAGTTTCAAGAGTTTTCAAGCACGTTAAGGGCCCCAAAAGCCCCTGAAACCTTGAACACCATTCAAATAATAGTCAAATTCCCCAAACCCCCCCACACACAGAGACAGAGGGAGAGGGAGGGAGAAAATTCTCCTGAAAATTACATTCAAACCAAAATATCTGACTTTGTGTTGTTCGGAGCTAATGACTGTCAATTAGAAAGTTGTCCGGCTCGAGGAGACGAATATACATACCGATTTTTGTTACTGTAGGTAAACCTAATACCCCATTTTTGACTAAAGGTGGCGCTACTGAGCCCCTCACCACGTCCGTTTCTGAAACTTTGCACGTGTCTACTAGCTAATAAATGAGATGTGTCTGTCGAGTTTCATGCAATTTCAAGCATGCTAAGAGTCTCAAAAACATCAAAAAAGAATATTAAATTTTGATGCGTTGCCATGACAACATTATCTTAGATATTAAACAATCCTTTCACAGGTCTACATCTGCCGTGTTTTTACATTATACACATAAAGTTTGAAGCAAATCGGGTAAAAATAAGAGGGTGATTTCAAAGCATTTAGAAAGTGACACACTTCCTGCTGCCAGTTGGTGGCGCTATAACTTTGACTCACAATAGTCACATCCATGTGATCGGCCTCTTACAGCGATCACACTGCTGAAGTTTCATCAAGATCAGTTAATGTATGCAGAAGTTATAACACACTTCCTGTTTCCATTATTCGCCATAAATTCGTTTCCTCGCCACGGCCAAACCGTTCGAGATATCAAAAATCCCCTGGCAATTTTTCATCCACAGTGTCTTGACTTCATGCTGACCGAGTTTCGTGCCGTGTGTTTGAATTCTCTAGGAGGAGTATTTCGTATTCCTGAGCATGGGTTTTCCAAACAACCCTAAGGCCCCGTTTACACGAGAACGATTCCGGGTGAAAACGTAAAAATTTTTTATCGGATGTGCCTTTCGTTTACACGGCAACAGCGTTTTGGGGACTTAAAAACGCAAAAAAGTGAAACCACCCTCCAGAGTGGAAATCTTAAAAACGCTCCACCGTCGCGTTCCCGTCTAAACGGTAAAAACGCAAATCTGCTTACGGTGGCTCTCGTCGCGTCCGCGTTTACGTCACATGCATGCGCCAGTACAGGAAAATAACAACCAGCATGTCAGATTATTTCCATACGTCGGACCTTCAAGTTGCCCTAGCAGCTCTGAAAAACATACAAGTCTTTTCAGCAGTTGTACAAAATATTCCAAGATATTGGTGTTGTTGTGTGGCAGTGGTTCACATTGCCACCTAGCCGCCTGGAGTGCATACCACATCGAATTTCACACACTTGTGCGTCACCATATGCACGCGGATTTCCCAACCATAACGCTCGTCTAAAAGCAGAATAAAAAGTGATAGCGCAACGCCACTTTTGCGTTTTCTCTTTAGATCGTTTCCGTGTAAACATAGCCTAAATAGCCGACTTCCTGTTGGGCTGGGGTAAAAAGTAAGAGTATGAAGGATATATGAACCGATGAGATCTATATGTGTACCGAGTTTCATATTATTCCATGCAAGCGTGTTTGATTTATGGACCAAGTTTTCGGACCCCTTTCCAGGGGGCGATGTCGAGCCCCTCTGCCACGCCCGGGTACTATCTTCAGTCTGGCCCTGATGGCCGCGGGTTCTGACATGTGTGCAAAGTTTCAAGAGTTTTCGAGGATATTAAGGGCCCCAAAAGTACCCGAATAGTCGTAAAAAAAAAAAAAAAAAAAAAAAAAAATCCTAAGGAAAACAATAGGGCAGGGGTGCCCAACCCTGCTCCTGCCGATCGACTGTCCTGCACAGTTTATCTCCAACCCTAATTAAACACACCTGCCTTTAATTTTCAAGTGAGCCTGAAGACCTTAATTGGTTGCTTCAGGTGTGTTTGATTAGGGTTGGAGATGAACTGTGCAGGACAGTCGATCGGCAGGAGCAGGGTTCGGCACACCTGCAATAGGGCCTTCGCCCTTTCAGGGCTTGGGCCCTAATGATAGTCATTCACATTAAACCATATATATATTATGTGAGTTTGGGTGATCTTCCCATGTGGGATGAGAAGGAGAAGTGTAGCACGAGGGGGAGTTCAAATGTTACTTTGCTTTGTTCTCTCAGAGAGTGAGAACACTATCCTCCAGTTTTTCCAGTCTTACAATGAGATATACTGTGTTTCAGGCACCAGTGGAGAGGAAGTGTTCATCAGTTCTGGTGTAAATGTCTCTCTGTCCTGTAATAATCATCTTTCTGGCTGCAAATCAACATCATGGACCTACTCTAACAGTCATTCAGGGATAGTTGCACTGATTACTGGAGGGATAAAGAATAAAGACACAGAGAGACATGAGAGACTGAGTCTGGAGTCTGACTGCTCTCTGAACATCAAGAACGTCACAGAAGAAGATTATGGATATTACAGATGCCGACGATATGTGAATGGAGAACGACAAGGAACTGATGCTTATGTTTATCTGTATGTTCTTCATGGTGAGTTTATGATTATGTGGTCAATTTAAAAAGGGCAGATTCTCCCTTTAAACTCAGATGATGATCGAAGAGTCTGTGATTTGTGTCTTGTGTTCAGTTTCAGTGTCTTCATCATCACCATCATCATCTTCATCTTCATCATCATCATCTTCATCTCCACAGACTGAGATCAGTCCAGGCCGCTCTGTGACTCTCTCCTGTCAGTTGTATGCTGGACTCTCCTGTGTTGATTGGGTCAATTCTGAGGGAGTTGAGCTGTTGTGGGTGAATCAGGCTGGTGTTGATCTGAAGACAGACTCCAGATATCAGATATTATCATCATCATCATCATCATCAGATCAACATCACTGTAACATCATCACTCTGACTACAACACTCCTGAATGAAGATGCCAACAGAGAGTGGAGATGTCAGCTTACTCACAGAAAGCAACTCCAGACCTCAGTCAGATACACTGTCAAGTATTCAGGTGAGAAAACAGTGTTAGAAGAGCCTCATAATGTCAGGAACACTGAGGTCTATCAGTATCACTGAACCAGAACAAACTGAGGGAACAAAAGCTTCTCTGACTCTCACAGAAGAGGAACTCAAAGCATTGCTTCAAACTAATGAACTGCAGTGAAGTAACAGTCCAACTGTTCACTCTTTATGTGATGTGATGATCAAAGTTAGAATATGATGGTCATATTGTACAGTATTAATCATCTGAACTAACATTGATCTTCACAGCTCAAGCTGATTCAACGACAGCAGTGAATCCAGTCCACAACACACACTCTCAGGATCCCTCAACTATAAACACACACGTTTCTAAAGGTACATCATCACTGTCTTTCTCACATCAGTGCTTTTCAGTGCGTAATGCTAGAGTTATCTTCAGTGTTCACTCATCAACATATGACGGTCATATTCTACAGGATGATTGTCACATTGAGTTGTTGTTTTAGCTTCATTTCATGGAGAGAAAACACTCTTTTCTGACAGATTTGTGAAAACTTTCACAGATTGGCTCTACTCTTTCTGATGGCTTCATAAGTTTTGGAGTTGTAAAATATTAGTGGAGTCATAAACTGCAAAACAATCCTTATAATTCCCAATATTGTCCTCCTACATGGGTCATACATGATATACTGCATAAACGAGTCTATTAAAGCCTAGTATGACCCATGTAGGAGGCCGGTTTTAGGAATTATAAGGCTTATGTCACTCATTCAAGCTGAAGGTTTATTTGCAGCAGCTCAACTGTGTTTCACTCTCTTATAAACCAGGAATAAATGATACAGTAACACCTCTCTTCTCCACTACTGCCACTGTAAGCTGTGATGATGGAACACAAACTGCATGTCATGTTATGATTGTAACCCTGGGTTAATTTTGGGTTACTTTTCGACATGATTATTCTTTATTATTATTTCGTTCACTGGAGCAGGCTGATACTTCTGTGAAACCCCGATTTGAAAAGGCTCAAGAAGATTACTTCTGTTACAAATGTGGGGAAGATGGCCACATTGCTCCGAAGTGCAAAGCTCCTGAGAATTACTCTCTGGTGATACAGAAACTTGTGCGATCATTACGGAAGGCTAGAAACGAAAGAATGGATCAGAGTAGTAGTAAACACACTAGTGATAAAGCCAGCTTTTCTCGCAAAAGCCAGACAGTTGTGGTTGAGAAGAGTAGTGTTCCTGTAGGGTTGGTGGGTCCAGCTCTGACAATCACTATGAAGATAAATGGTCAGCCCTGTGAAGCCTTACTAGATAGTGGATCTCAGGTCACTATCATCTTTGAGCCATGGTACTCTGAAAACCTGTCATCAGTGCCCATTCAGCCTCTCTCTGGTCTGTCCATTTGGGGCCTTAGCACAGCCAGTTATCCCTACAAGGGATATGTCTTGGTAGATGTTTCTTTTCCTGCTTCTGTCATGGGTGTGGAAGAGACTGTTTCCATCCTTGCTTTGGTTTGTCCAGAACCTGAAGGTCCTAAACAAGTGCCTGCGATCATTGGGACAAATGCAAGTTTTTTCCAACGTTTGATTGGACTTGGCACCGCTGGTCATGAGACGGATGAGGCACACACATTAAGAATTCAGCTTCACAACTCAGAACTAGAATCACAGACAAGACTTGACATACCTGCTGGAGAAGTTAAATGGACAGGTCCAGGTGCTTGCATCATACCATCAAGAGGAGAAATGTGTGCTGTTTGTACAGTTGAGTCACAAAAACCGCTGGAGAAGGAAATTTTCATGGTAGAAACCCCTTCAGATGATATGCTGCCTGCAGGACTGTTCATTCTTCCAGTTGTACTGCCCTCTTCTGCTATAGAGGAGAACAAATTCAAGGTGCTGATTAGGAATGAGACGTGCAAAGAGGTAACAATACCATCTGGAACAGTCGTAGCGCATGTGTTTCCTACAGATACAGTGACTGTGGCATCTGTTACCCCGACGAAATCCAAGACCATTGAATTAAAGGTGTTTGATTTCACAAAGTCCACCATTCCAAAAGAGTGGGAAGATCGACTTCGCCAGAAACTGTCTGAGAGAGGTAATGTATTTTCTCAGGAAGAATGGGATGTAGGACTGGCAAAGGACGTTAAACATTGCATCCGTTTGAGTGACTCTAGGCCATTTAGAGAGAGATCTCGACAAATTGCTCCAGCTGACATTGATGATGTCCGTCGACACCTCAAAGACCTGTTAGCTACAGGGATTATTAAAGAATCCCGAAGTCCTTATGCTTCCCCAATTGTAATTGTTCGTAAAAAAAGTGGTGCAATACGCATGTGTATCGATTATCGGACTTTGAACAGCAGAACTCTTCCTGATCAGTACACGACCCCACGCATAGATGATGCGTTGGACTGTCTTGCAGGAAGCAAGTGGTTTTCAGTCTTAGACCTGCGGAGCGGCTACTACCAAATAGCCATGGCCGATGAGGACAAGGAGAAGACTGCCTTTATATGTCCTTTAGGGTTCTATGAGTTTGAAAGGATGCCACAAGGAGTTAGTGGAGCGCCTGCGACATTCCAAAGACTCATGGAGCGTGCAGTTGGGGACATGCATCTGCTAGAAGTGATAGTGTACCTTGACGATATTATTGTCTTTGGGTCCACTCTAGAAGAACACGAACAGAGGCTTCTGAAAGTCTTAGACCGTTTGGAGGAGTATGGATTGAAAATTTCAATGGATAAGTGCCAGCTCTGTATGTCACAGGTCAAATATGTGGGCCATATTGTCTCTGCTGATGGGGTTGCTCCTGACCCGGAGAAAATAGAAGCAGTCACTAAGTGGAAGATGCCCACAGATGTAAAAACCTTAAGGTCATTCCTAGGATTTTGTGGGTTTTACCGACGGTTTGTCAAAAACTATTCTGCAATCGTGTGACCCTTGACAGAACTCACCAAAGGGTATCCTCCAGCCAAAGGGGGTGGAAAGGTCACCACAGAGAGAAAGTACTTCAAAGATTCAGAACCATTTGGTGAGCGGTGGGACAAAGGTTGCACTGAGGCTTTTAAAACCATTATCTACTGTCTTACTCATGCCCCTGTCCTGGCATTCGCTGACCCTTCCAAAGCCTATGTCCTACATGTGGATGCAAGTGGGAATGGCCTAGGTGCAGTACTGAACCAAGAGTATCCGGAAGGACTCAGACCAGTTGCATATGCTAGTAGGAAACTGAGTACAACAGAGCAAAGATATCCAACTCACCAACTGGAATTCTTGGCACTGAAGTGGGCCGTAGTGGATAAATTTCACGATTACCTTTATGGGGTGAAATTTGTAGTTAGAACTGACAATAATCCGCTCACCTATGTCCTCACTACAGCTAAGTTAAACGCAACAGGACATCGCTGGCTGGCGGCATTGGCCACATATGATTTCAGTCTGCAATATAAGCCAGGACGTTATAACATCGATGCTGATGCATTGTCTCGTTATCCTTTGGAAGGTGGGTCACCTGATGGATGGACAGAAATATCCCAGTCAGGAGTGAAAGCAATCTGTCAGATGGTGACAAGTGACAAAAATGAGGAATCTTCCACCAGACTGGTAGATCAGTTGGGAGCCAATTCTAGCATTGTTCCACCTGTTTATGCACGTTTTACACAGCTGGAGCTAGGACATCTGAAACAGTTGACACATGCTGACCTTGAGTTGGCTCAAGACAAAGATCCAGTCATTGGACCGGTGAAGATAGCTGTGGAGCAAGGAAAGGTACTTACAACTGGTGCAAGTGCTAACCCGCGAATGACTCTATTGCAGAGACAAGGTCCTAAGCTGGTCAGCCAGGATAAGCTGCTGTACAGAGTGTTCATCAGTCCCTGTGGTAAAGAGAAAAAACAGCTTGTTTTACCTGAACAGTTCCATCAACAGGTAATGCATTCATTACATGATGATGCGGGACATCTAGGAATCGAGCGGACTACAGAGCTGCTGAAGGACAGATTCTACTGGCCACAAATGACTTCTGAGATTGAGAAGTATGTCAAAAACTGTGGAAGATGCATAGCCAGAAAGACATTGCCTCAGAAACGCGCTCCTCTGAGTAACATCACTAGTAGTGGGCCAATGGAACTTATATGTATTGATTTCCTGTCAATAGAACCAGATTCCAAAGGTGTTGCTAATGTCCTGGTTGTCACTGACCATTTTACACGCTATGCCCAAGCCTACCCGTCTAAGGACCAGAAAGCAGTGACTGTTGCAAAGATTCTCTGGGAGAAGTTCTTTGTGTATTACAGACTTCCAGCCCGTATACATTCAGATCAAGGGTGAGACTTTGAGAGTCGACTTATAAAAGAACTTCTGGGAATGCTGGGTATTAAGAAATCAAGGACGACACCTTACCACCCTCAGGGAGATCCACAACCTGAACGATTTAATAGGACACTACTCTCCATGCTGGGAACTTTGGATGCTGCAGAAAAGCAAAAATGGAGCCAGCATATCAGCAAATTAGTACATGCATACAATTGTACTAAAAATGAGGCTACCGGGTACTCACCTTACTTTCTTTTGTTTGGAAGAGAAGCCCGCTTGCCAATTGATGTGTGCTTTGGTACTTCTTCAGAAGGAGGAGAAGGACAGACATACCAGAGGTATGTTGAAGACCTAAAGACAGATCTTCAGAAAGCCTACAGACTAGCTTCTGAATCTGCATTAAAGAATCATCAGAGAAATAAACGTCTCTATGATCAAAAGGTGAAATATCAAAGCATAAGGCCTGGAGACCGTGTGCTTATTCGAAATCTCAGTTTCACAGGAAAGCACAAACTGGAGGATAAGTGGAATACGGCCCCGTACATTGTTCTTGAAAAGCTTGACAATTTGCCTGTGTACAGACTCAAATCAGAGAAAGGAACTGGGGGAGTCAGGACAATGCACAGAGATCATCTCTTACCTATTGGAGAATCGGTGAGAATGCCAAAACCTGATAGGAGACAAGAAGTTCCTCAAAGGCCAGTAACTAGGTCTAGAGCTACAAAAGAGCACAAAGAAACATTGAGAGAAGAAAGAGTATTGGAAACTCCTGTAACCACTGATAATTCCTCAGGAGATGAAGATGAAAGCTATGGGTACTATAGTCCAGGTAGGTCTAGACAATGGACACAGTTAATTCCTGATCTCCAGCACAAGTTTGAAGTTAAAGAGGATGAAGTAACTGCCAACACAGACAGTGAATCTCAATATTCTGGAGAAGAGGAAGTGGTGGAGGAAACCTGTGAAAACGAGGATTCCAGAGAGAATATGCACCCGATTGTAGACTCAGTGGTGGAGCAAGAATCTTCAGAAGCAGAAGTAAATAGCTCTGATAATGCATCAGACTTGGAGGCCGAACCCATGGAGCATTGTCCCAAAAGGAAGGTGAAACCTGTCTCTAAGTTAAGCTACGATGAACTAGGCCAACCTAGTAAGAGACCCGTAACAGTTGTGCACAGAGGAATAGTTATTCATCTGACAGATTCCTCAAAGATTGGACTTTGCCCTTCAAAAAAATATCGACCTTTACCTAAATGTGCCAGGTGTACTAGGATATGTCCTAACTCTGAGAATAGACTCATTATTCATATTTAAAGTCTGTATACTCATGGGGACATGAGAATTTCAGAAGGAGGAGGATGTAACCCTGGGTTAATTTTGGGTTACTTTTCGACATGATTATTCTTTATTATTATTTCTATTTTATTTATTTGTTTATTTTAAATGGTATGCAGAAATGAGTGCTTGGTGACGAGAGTTTATTATTGAATCAAAGTGTACCTGTTCAGAAAATGTTCATGTCAGTAAGTTGTGTTTGGTTTAACGTTATTGGCTAAAAACAGCTTGATCCCGCCTCATATCCGTTATGGCAACTGTGATTGGCCAGTGTTAATGTCACTCAAGGGAGGGTCAGAGGTAGGGGAAGAAGGAAAGAGAAGGTGAATGTTGTCGGCATGATAACAGAGCGCGCTGGGTTTTTGTGTTAGATATAGTCAGAAGAACTGCATTGTTTAAGTGTTAAGCTGTATAGTATTCTGTTGTGAGGTCAACCCGATCACACAGTGAAGTCAACACGACAGGGTTCAGAAGAACTGTTAGTTTAATGCTTGATGATCGCGATTCGCAGTGAATCGGACTATTCATGTTACTAGTGAAAAAAACTTAACTCAAGTTTATCCCCTACATCGGCGAATGTGAGAGTATCAAAGGTGATCTAAGCGATTGCCAAGAACTGTGAGTGCATCGATCGAGAGTGACAGAGCCGCTGAGGAGGAATCCAGATAGCGCTCCTAATCCCCGAGTGGTTAGGAGTTCCTCTGGCGTCGCGGGAGTTTGCTAACTGATGACAGCTTCACGTGGATGGATTTGATGGGTGACGGAAATCATTAACTCTTGCCACTTACACTCAGGTACACTTTGTTTATTTTATTTTGTGCTCTTATAGAGCGAAGCGGCCATTTTACGTTTCACTCGGCCTCAACGCACACAAGCAACGTTTCAGGCCTGCAACGTGTGTGTGTGTGTGTGTGTGTGCGCGCGCGTGTGTGTGTGGGCCCACAATAAGTTGTGTTTTTTCATTGGTGAATGATATAATGCTTTAATACTCTGTGATTCATTGAGTATATTATTACAGGGTTACAGTTTGTATTTCTGATTGAAACTGAGGTTTGTTTAACATGCTTTATTTTTGCACTGAGTTTTCATAGACACCAGAATTACACTGGTATATTGGTTTACATTAGGTGAAGACAAATTTGTACTTTGTGTAAAATAAGGAAATGTTAATTTAAAGAGTGATTCATTAGATAGCCCTATTTTGATGGAAGTTTAAAAGGTTAACCCTTTAAGTGCCTGTTGTTGTGCATAGAAGAGTCAATCAAACACTGTTTTGAAAATACCAGTTTATTCAGAAGTTGGTTGAACAGATTTTATTCATATCTAATTTGATTCGGTTTTGTCAATTCTTTCTTTTCTTTTCTTTTCTTTTAAATAAATCCATTGTATATTTCAGTTTTATAGTGTGGTCACTTTAATAGAACAGATCGGTAGCTGTAATTGGTTAAAAGTGATATTGCAGAGATCTGAGTTGCACTTTGCAAGAAGTAGTGTAGAACCAAGGGTCACAGATTGATTATAGGATCACGTCGAGAGACAAATAAACGAATCTGGGTTCAAGCGTCCAACATTCCAAAAGGGTAGATACACCTAGGACAGTAGGGGGCGCTACATGATCAATGTGAAAATATGATGTTAATGTTTTTAAAATAAATGTCTTGACATTGTGTAATCATATTTCTATTTCCATCTTGTTTTTAATAGTTGTAACATCAACTACAGCAACAGCACTGACTCCAGACACCACAGCAAACTCTCTGAGTCCAGGTGTGTATGAACGAACTACAGCAGCAGCTCCTACACACACTTCATGATCACATGATCACTGTCACACACATCAACCTCGAAGGATTCCTCAATATTTGTGCATTTGAATGTTTTCATACAGGAAACGTTGTATGTTTTAGATGTCGTCAATAAATAGATATTCCACATTTCAGTGTTTCTGCAAACTTAGAAATGCAAGTGTGCTAGAACCTCACAGCATCAAATTATTAGATTTGATTATTTTTGGTGAATGGCGATAGTCATTCTCCTCCTGACAGCTTGAGATTGAAGTAAGAAGATAATAGATGACAGACTCGAGCACATATTCCTTATTTCTGTGATGTGAAGCTCCAGTATTATGTGATGATGATGTTGTGTATATGTGGCATTATGTGTTGAACTGAACTAACAGACGTGATCCACAGATCCAGCTGATCCAGCATCAGAAACTGCTGGATTATTATACAGAGGTACGACACGTTCATTTATACTGACAGCTTTATAACATTACACTATCAGTCAGTCTGTAAATGCTTCATCAAGAACTGTTGATAGATGAAGACCCTTGACTTCAGTCATGTACAGTTTCTCTTCTTCCTCTCATGTTTCCTGCAGTGATTGTGAGTATTGTTGAGATCGCAGTGTTTGCTGCTCCTACTGTGATTCTTCTTCAGATCATCTGTGCAAGAAGAGCTGGTGAGTTTGAGCCGCACACAATCTGAAGATTCACACTCATCTGATCTGAACATCTGCAATCATGATAAACACATACGAGAGGTCAGGCAATGCTTTTATTTTGCAGGGAGGAAGGACTCGAAGCGCCCGGAGGAAATAGAGATGCCCACAATATTACAATAAAACACGGATGAGTTCAGTATCTGCAGCAATATTTACAATAGCAGAAACTCAGAGGATTGTTCATTGGTTTATTTTCTTCTCAGAAAACTCTGATCATCCTGAAGAAATAGTGACATCATCAACTTTAGATTACAATGTTTTTTTTTACATATAAAAAGCCAGATTTATTTCATTTATATAGATTTGATGGATATATTTGCCTACAGTGCTGAAAGTCATTTTCTTGTGCTTCATATGTAAACGTCCCGGGTTACGTATGTAACCCTAGTTCCCCGAAGGGACGGACGCTGCGTGTAATCGCAGTGGGAACGCCCTCAGCGTGACGCGTCTGAAGCATGAATGAAATCAGTCAATGGAGAGAATGAGCGTACGGCGAGTGACGTCATCGACCAGGAAGCTATAAATATCCCCTGAGTACACAATACGCCAGCTTAAAAGTTACTGAAGCAGCGACCCAAGGGGATGCCGGGAGTATGGCAGGACACGCAGCGTCCGTCCCTTCGGGGAACTAGGGTTCCATACGTAACCCGGGACGTTCCCCTTCAGGGACTACCGCTGCGTGTAATCGCAGTGGGAACGCAATACCCACATCCCCATATGACCAAATCCCCGTCGTGTGTCATTAGGAGACACAAACCGACAAGAGAACCTGAGCCCCGGGAGTGGAGCTAAGATCGAGGGAATAAAATCTAACGAAAGTGTGCGGTGAGGACCAGCCTGCCGCATCACAAACGTCCTGAAGAGAAGCTCCTGAAAGAAGAGCTGTAGAAGCAGCCATACTCCAGGTGGAATGAGCCCTTACAGCCAAAGGTGAAGGCTGATGGGCCGAACCATAAGCAAGTGGGATGGCCTCGACCACCCACTTGCTCATCCTTTTTCTAGATGCAGGACACCCTTTCTTAGGTGACCCAAACAGACGAACGGTTGTTCCGATCTCCTCCACAGGGCAGCTCTGTGGACGTAAGCATCAAAACCCAAACTGGGCACAGCAAATTAATTTTCTCCTGGTCTGACGTCAGAAAAGGCGGAGGACAGAAAAACCTGCAGAACTATAGGTCTAACAGAAACAGTTGGAACCTTAGGAACATAACCTGGTCTCGGAAAGAGAAAGGCCTTAACCAACCAGGAGCAAATTCCAGGCACGAGGGAGCCACCGAAAGTGCTTGAATATCTCCAATTCTTTTTAGAGATGAGATAGCGAGAAGAAGGATAGTCTTTAGAGTAAGAAACTTTTCCGAAACTTCCTCGATGGGCTCGAAAGGAGCAAGGGAGAGACCTTTTAAGATGATGGCCAGACCCCAAGCTGGTACCCTCGTGCGAACTGCAGGCCTCAGCCTCAAGGTGACACGAAGGAAGCGAGACATAAGTGGGTGTTTCCCGAGGGAACCTCCACTTGAAGGGGTGTGGTAAGCAGCTAAGGCCGCCACATACACCTTCAGTGTGGAGTTGGATAACCCTGTGGAGAGACGGTCCTGCAGGAAATCCAGCACTGTACCAACCGGGCAGTTAACTGGGTCCTGCTGGCGCTCTCCACACCAAGAGGTGAAAAGTTTCCACCTCGCGGCATATAACTTCCTCGTGGAGGGAGCTCTGGATCGGAGGATGGTCTCAACGACCTCAGCCGAGAGACCAGAATCTATGAGCTGGGCCCCCTCAGAGGCCAAGCCCACAGCCTCCATCGCTCTAGACGGGGGTGAAGGATCGACCCACTCGCCTGAGAGAGCAGATCTCTCCTGATCGGTATCTCTAGGGGAGAGCCGTCGAGGAGAGACACTAGGTCCGCAAACCATACCCGGGCTGACCAGAACGGGGCTATTAGCAGGAGACTGAGCCCGTCCCGGCGAACCCTCTCCAGAACTCCTGGGAGCAGAGCGATCGGGGGAAAAGTGTACAAGCGTGACCTCGGCCATGGATGTACCATCGCATCCGACTGCAGCGGGGCTGGATGGCTGAGAGAGAACACAGCGGGCAGTGTGATGTTTCTCGAGAAGCAAATAGGTCTACCTCGGCAAGACCGAAATGTTTCCATAAGAGTTCCACCATCTCGGGTGAAGACTCCATTCCCCGGGCCTCGGCCCCTGTCTTGACAGGATGTCTGCCCCCCTGATTTAAATACCCCGGGAGATAAATAGCTCTCAGAGAAAGAATTTTCCCCTGGGACCAAAGAAGGATCTGACGTGCCAGTTTGTAAAGCGGGCGAGAACGCAAACCCCCCTGATGGTTGATATAAGAAACCACCGATGTGTTGTCTGTCCGGACAAGAACATGGTGGCCCCTTAGGTCTGGGAGGAAGTGTTTCAGAGCCTGAAACACCGCCAACATCTCTAGGCAGTTTAAGTGCCACAGACGATGATGGTCCTCCCACAGACCCTGAGCCGGGCGACCATCCATGATCGTCCCCCAACCCGTGAGAGAGGCATCTGTCATTAGCATAACGCGACGACAAGGAGCTCCTAACACAGGGCCTTGGGACAGAAACCAAGGATCTTTCCACATGATCAGGGCGTGATGACACCGTCGCGAACTCACGATCATGCGAAGCGAATTTCCCCTCGGGGAGAATCCCTTGGTCCTGAGCCACCACTGTAACAGTCTCATGTGCAAAAGGCCAAGAGGTATCACGTTGGACGCAGCTGCCATGAGACCTAACAGTCTCTGGAACTGTTTTACAGTGGATGACTGGCCTAGCTTGACCTGATCTACTGCAGCGAGAATCAAAGCAATACGAGCAGGTGACAATCGTGCCTGCATCGTCGTTGAATCCCACACTACACCTAGAAAAGTGGTTCTCTGTAATGGAGAAAGAACACTCTTTTTGGCGTTGAGCCTCAGCCCCAGTCACTTGATATGAGCAAGAACGACATCTCGGTGCCGAACCGCCTGTTGTTCCGATTGAGCTAGAATCAAGCAATCGTCTTTATAGTACAGAAAGCGGATGCCCTGTAACCTCAGCGGGCCTATAGCAGCATCCATACACTTCGTGAATGTTCGGGGTGACAGTGCTAGGCCGAACGGAAGAACCCGATATTGGTACGCTTCGCCCCCGAAAGTGAACCTCAGGAACTTCCTGTGTTGAGGGAGGATAGATACATGGAAGTAAACGTCCTTTAGATCTATCATGACAAACCAGTCCTCGGATCTGATTTGAACATCCCCAGTGACAGACACAGCGCCCTGTAACGTACTGGCAGTGAACAGCTGGTCTGGGCACTCCACAACCCTCCTCGGAGGGGGCGAGCGTCCCTCGGGAAATCGCTCGCCGAGTCTCTCTACGCCCTGTGAAGGCAGGGTTAGTAGAGCAGACCCCTGAGGGCATCGGAAAAGACAGGGCACCGTGTTCTTGTGCAGTGAACTCAGGTCTTTCACGATAGGGACCACCCTCAGAGTCCTGACGTTCAGCACGTCAGGATTTTTTTTTTTTTTGATGAAGTAGTATCCTAACTCCCTGCTGGGTGGCTTTTTATTTGGCTTTTACTCTCGAGGCTGGCCTCCGGATGAACATCCCGAGTGACAGACACAGCGCCCTGTAACGTACTGGCAGGGAACAGCTGGTCTGAGCACTCCACAACCCTCCTTGGAGGGGGCGAGCGTCCCTCGGGAAATCGCTCGCCGAGTCTCTCTACGCCCTGTATAGGCAGGGTTAGTAGAACAGACCCCTGAGGGCATCGAGAAAGACAGGGCACCGTGTTTTTGTGCGGTGAACTCAAGTTTTTCCCGATGGGGACCACCCTCAGAGTCCTGACGTTCAGCCCGTCAGGACTTTTTCGACGCGGCCTTTCTGGCGACAATGACTGTCCTCAGATCAGTCCTGCCCCGAGAAGGCCGCGCCGGAGAGCGCCCCGCCTCGTCCCTCCAGTTTCTCTGGAGGGGGGCACGAGACGTGACACTCCGCTTCTGCTGCGCTCTTTTGGAAGACGAACTCGACGAAAGACTTTGCTCTGGTTGAACATTCTGCGTGACAGACACAGTGCCCTGTAACGGCGCACCAGCAGGGAACGACTGGTCTGAACACACTAGAACCCTCAGAGGCGGCGAGCGTCCCTCGGGAAAGCACTCGCCAGACCCTTCTACGCCCTGTTTCGGCAGGGTTAGTAGGACGGGCCCCTGAGGGCGCCGGGAGAGACAGGGCACCCTTAAGGGAGGTGAACGCAAGTCTCTCTCGGCGGGGACCCCCCTCAGATTTTCCTTTGAGCAGGTCGGCCTGAAAAGCCTGCATAAAGGTCATCGTATGCAAACATGCAGCCGCCTGCCCAGCCACCGAGTAAGCCTTCCCCACCAGCACAGAGGTATATATATTTATTTATTTATATATTTTTTTTTTTGGTGGAAGAGCCGGTGCTTTAAGTGAAGACGATGAAGCAGGAGAGAGATAGCTCGCGAGCGTCTCCTCCGCCTACAGTATCGTCACATAACCAGCAGATTTAGCACCAACAATGTTACCATAAGCATTGGACTGATTTGTGTAAATTCTGCTTGAAACCGGTCTAACCCAGGTCTTTGAAACCTCAGCATGAAGATCTGGGAAGAACGGTAAGCACCGGCGAGAAGGTTGAGGTCGTGCAGACAGAAATCTATCATCTAGATTGCTTTTAATTCTAGAAACCTGTCTATCAGCTGGCCACTCGATACTGTTTTTTTTTTTTTTTTTTAGCTTTTCAACAGCCCGAGATAATACATCCATCAAACCTTCTTCATTTGCAGTATAATGTGATAAACTAGTTTTCTCTGATGCAAAACTTTCGACATCCAGCTCCTCAGAACTGGAAAATCTCAATTCAACATCATCATGTGCCTCCACCCGGGCAGAAGTAACCGCCGCAGCGCGTGCTTCCAGAGCCTGGTGAGAGGCACTAGATCTCGTCGGAGATAGCTGAGATAGGGCGGAGCCCGTCTCAACGTCGCCAGCGAGATCCATCTGCGAGCCCCAAGACAAGCGCCGCCGCTCTGCCTCAACAGAAGCGGGACCCGAGCCTCGGGGAGCTCGCAGCAAATCACTCTCCTCGAAGAGCGATCGCCGCGAGCGCAGAGTTCTCAAG